TCGGCGCGTACAAACAGCACTGCACATAGCCGCGCTATCAAGCCTGAGGGCAAAAGCAGAAACGCCTTCGCCCACCCGCGCCTTCATGGTAATATAACTGACGTCTGCATAGTAACACAACATAGATCCGCCCGCCCCTCTGCACCACGCCACTTCTGTATCGACATCGACACCATGAATCAAATTCGGATTATTATGTGGACAGACATTGGACAATTCGATAATACCACAAGCTTGAGAAAAGGTAAAGGCTCAGCAGCTACGTAGGTACGCACGACGAAAACAAAGGGCACAGTCCTTTGTAATTTATGTTCGCCCCCCTTCGTGGGTATTCATTAGCTTAGCACTGAAAAAAAGGTTCGGTTAGCAAAGTGACAAGGGTGAGGAGAAAGCGAGGGAAGGAAGTAACAGAAGAATGAAAGCAAGAAAGAGACGAAGGAAGTGTGCAGGGAGGAACGACAAGAACATAAAAAGGGGAACTTGCACTTTTTATCTATTTTCGTTAGGTTGTTGAGACCTGACGATATCTGGCATATGTAGGGTTCTTGAGTTTTGGGCAGCGATGGCGATCACTTTGGGGTCCAGGATCTCTCGGATGATGTCTACAACGAGGTCTCCCGCGAGCAACCTGCCCCACAATCTCAGAAAGAGCCTGAGTCGCCAGCGATGAAAGCGGTATTTGAAGAGGAAGAGGAAGAAGAATTCATATTGAACTGGCAGTCTATACTCTGTTTTTCTTTTGTGTGATCGGCGGATCACATCCACTCCCTATTGAAAAGTTCAACCAAAACGAAAATGAGCCATGGACGAAAGTGGGCAGACCTTTGTGTCCCATTGAGGCTTGCACGCGCATTCCATTCGGCGGCCCCCGTGTTCCAGATTTTGTGGGCGCCCTCCTTCCACACATCCATCTCCTTCCATTTGTTGCTGCAATGAACGATGCACAGACGGACATCGCTCAAGTCCGGTTCGGACATCAGGAAGTCCATGCCATTGCCCGGACTCTGCCAGTCCGAATACGGGACGGTCACGACGACCCTGACGAGACGAGGGAACCGAAGGGTGTCGAACATGTAGGCGCGAACGGATGTGGTGGTGCGCGCCGACATGGTGAGATCGGTGAGATTCTGGAAAGAGATTCCACGGGGTGGGCCGACGGCGGACTCGATGCCGCCGGCTATGCGCAGCCCGTGGAGCTGATTGAGGAGCCTTGCGCCGTGGCGCGCACCGAGGAGACGGTCCCAATGCCATGGCACGACAGGCTGTGAGAACGTGACGTCCACGGGCGATGTATGGCGAAAATCGGTGTCGGAGCACATATCGGCCAAGGTGTCCGGAAAACACGCGAGCCGCTCAACATTGAGGCAGGCTTTCATAATGGCGGGGTAAGCTGTCGCAGCCTGCCCGCTCTCGAGACCGGGGAGGAGCCACAACTGCTTCACCCCGGCACCTACACCTGGGTGGACGGAAATGCAGGTGAAGAAAGAAATCGCCGTGTCGGAGTTGGAGAGAACGACCTGCTCGGGGACACAGTGTAGACGCGCTAGAGCGGCGATGGGCTTGGATGTGCGCATGAGGACAGAATAGGCACTCGATTTCGTGGTCGCCAATTTGAGGATGGCGACCGCGATCTCGACGGGGAGATCTTTGAACGGAAAGGATCCCATGCGAGACAGCGACTCATGCCAACTCGCGCGTATGATCTCGAAGTCCTGCTCCGCGAGCGCTCTGGCGAGGCCGTGAAGACTGAATACGTCGATATCGGTAGTAGTAGACATCTGTGAGTCGTAAGTTCCAAAGTCATATGTGGCTTGTCGTATTTTACCCTTCGTGAGCTGGTTGTGTAAAGAGGGAAGTCGTCGAGTTGAAGGCCAGGGTCAGTTCCGCACCTTTTAACCCCCCGAAATTTAATTACCGCTCTGTAGTGAGGAAACAGCAATTCGATAAGGACGGGTGTGCTGAATTTAGGGTCAAAGTATAAAGGATGGTTTATTCATCGCATCACCGGATGTATCATAGACTGGCAAGTCAACGTTAAGAAGATGCTTTTCAGCCTCTGTTCTTCGTTGGCTAGGCGGATTCTAAAGCAGCGTATCAATAACAATAAGAGAATTTTGAGCGAATTAGAAACATGGCCGACTTATTCCTCGCTGTGAGGACGCGCAGGGTTTACCGCTGTTAAAGAGGACCAATTCGAGATTCTCGATAGTGGCTACGGTCGCGTAAGAATCACTACAGCATCCCAGAGCAGATGCGGCTGCCTTACCCCATCACTGTTGACCACCATCGGTCCAAGAGCGTCCAATTTCACTGCGGCTGTAGCTGCGGGATATCGCCCTCAGAAGCCGCCAGCGTGTCTGAGGCATCAGGATCGAGATTGTTGTCGGACCGAGCAGCCATGTGTGATACGGGGCTCAAGTTTCAATACCCGGAGTCGTTAACACCGAGGAGAGCGAGCCAAGGAGGACGAACAAAACGACGTGGGTGGGTCGAAGACAAGAGATCAGAGGCAGTGCAACGTTTCGTGTTCATCCTCAGGCTGACGTAGTTGGACGTAGGCCATGTGGAAAAAAAAATTGAAAAATTGAACTTGAATTCAACCATCCGTTGTTTCGATCGAAACTAAGAAAGGGAGCAAGTAGCTTCATGACCCAACGGCTCGGCGCGAACTCGCAGAATGAAAACAAACGTAGACGAAGGACTAGGTACTAGATCGTCGGTCACGAAAGAAACTTGGTGCGCTTGCTACTAGAAAGGGGAGGTAGTACAGCGCGCACGAAAGAGCGCAAGAAAGAAAACGAGAAAACAAGAAAACAAGAACAAAACAAGAAAACAAGAAAACAAAGAATGAACGTGAGCGAGTAAGAAGGAAACAAAAAGAGAAAGGAAGGGGAAGAGGGGAGGTACGCACGACAGCCATCATCTCCTGCGAATTTGTGTTCATGATGAGGGCGACGATGAGGCCTGTGCGTGGGGTGGTTCGTTAGTAAACGGAGATTTGGGAGGGAGGGGCACGAGAGGAAGGGGAGGGGCACGACACGGTCGCCGTACACGGTGTCCTACGCAGCACGGCGCGTAGCACGAAGGAGTACTTGGAGTACGCCGGAGCGCAAGTGAGCGCAGCACGGCGCAGTCGGCAGGGCGCGGAGGGTACGCAGTGCGTCCAGCCGCTACGCAGGAAACACCGCCCAGCGCAGCCTGACCCGTCGCGTGTTACACCGCACGGTGGTACGCAGCTCGCAGTTCACGGCCTGCGCACTCGCCGTACACGCAGCTCGCAGCGCGCAGGCCACAGCGCAGTGTCCCGTCGTAGGCAGGGCGCAGCAAACACCCGCCCTCGAGGCTCGCAGCCCGCAGCCCGTCGCGTGCTACACCGCACGATGGTACGCAGTGGCAGTAACCAGTAACCAGTTAACGCAAACGGAAACGCAAACGCAAAGAGACTTGAGGTTGGGAGGGAAGGGGGGGTGGGCCCGGGAGCGCGGCGGCAACACCCACCCAAGGAGCACGCACAGAAAGAAATAGTCGCGCCGACGATCTCAGCAGCCAGGCGCCGGGCGGGTCGAAATAGTACGTAGGGAGGGAGGGCGAAAGGGTACCCGGTCGCGCTAGCCTCCGGTTCGAATCCGGCTCAGGTCATGTTGGAGAGGCCCCGGGAAGCTGCACCAAGGGGTTGTCCGAAATTTCAGGTTTTTGAGGCCCAAAATCGGCCATTTCCTTGTCCGAAACTCAGGTTTTTGAGGCCAAAGTTTGCCAAACCTTGTCCGGCTTTCAGGTTTTTGAGGGCTCCCAGGCTCTGGGACCAGAATTCGAGCAAAATCTCAAGAATATTTCCAGATTCTCTGGCGCGCGTCATGGCATCCTCGTAAGCTCAGAAAGTGATTTCGAGTCGATGCGCCCAAATTTTCGCATAATTCATGTGTTTTGTGACATTTTCTGCAGCAGTAGGTAACACCGTGACCCGTGACGACCCTTGTCCGATTTCAGGTTTTTGAGGCTCTGTAAGTCAGGTTTTTGAGGCCAAATTGGACGAATTTTCCGGACAACCCCTTGGTGCAGCTTCCCGGTATGGCGGTCACTTTGCACATTTATTATTCCGGGTTTTTTTTTCCCACTTTTCACCCCATTTTTTCGGGTTTTCAACTTTCCATACTTTTTTTTTGAGGGTGTTTCCATTCTGCTATTCTTTTCTTCCCATTGACACAGATTAGGATTGTTTTCATGTGCTGGAATCACAACCTTATGAACAAGACATAGGGAGGACAGTGGTTTGAACCCTGCCGCTATATTGGGGTTAATCACCCTTGATGGCCGAAGTTGATCACATACCGCGGCGGTCGGTTGCAAGCTCCTCAGTCACAGCAAGCATGTCACTGCCGTGGGTGTTCTGGTGGGTTTGATTGCACACTTGATAGCATCCCCCTGCAGGGGGTTTGAAGCTCAAAGTTGAGAGTCAATGTGCACTTGGCATATCCGGCGGTCAACACCATCAACGCCGGCTGGTCAGCTTGCACAGCCACTGTACCAGAATAAACCTGAAGCCCCTTCCTTCGCTAAAGCAAGTCGAACGCAATGAGGAAGAAACCTCAGTCGCACCATCTAGAAAAAAAGTTCCCTAGATTCAAAAAAAAAAAAGGGACATGAGAAGAAAAAAAAGTATGAGACACCGAAAACATAAAAAAAGTGGTGAAAAGTGGAAAAAAAAGTCCAGAATAATAAATGTGCAATGTGACCGCCATATCCCGGGGCCTTGTTGGAGGAATGTTGGAGGAATGTCGAGATTTTTTTTTTTACTTTTCTTTTCTTCAACGCTCAGCTTGAATTTTCTTTAACTCGTTCTTCAATGGGGGAGGGACAATCAAGCTTACTTGAATCTGTGCTGTTCAACTAATGTTTATTTTTCAATCTCGAGGGTGTGGTTGTGGTTCATCTTCATAATTCACCACTATTCAAAAACACTACATAATGCATGGAAGGGAAGTACTTAAGTGTGCACTAATGACTTGATGGTGTAGTTGGTAACACGCTTGCTCAATTTAATACTGTTATGTATCGAGTGCGTAAGAGTCCTCGGTTCGAATCCGGGTCAGGTCATGGTATGGATATCTCAGGTTTTTTTTTCCTTTTTTTTTTTTCCTTTTCTTGAGCGCTTGGAAATGCAGAATCACCGCTCCGAAGTGTCTCGATTTCCTGGGAAGTTTGCGTTTCAGCTTAATGTGCTCAAAGGGCACTGAGGATTCGATATTGTCGTTGAAGGGTTCCAAATTTTGCATTTTAAGAACACTACATAATACATCAAGCGGAAGGTGTCCTTAATAACGTCGACCTGATGGTGTAGCTGGCAACACACCTGCTTAAATTAATTGTTGACACATGATGCTTGACGCAGGCAGTGTTCGCCCTAAAGGCCTTTAATTGGCCTCTGAGATTTCTAAAGGCCTTTTAAAGGGTAAAGGCCTTTAGCTAAAGGGTAGCTAAAGGCCTTTGATCAATTTCCCGCCCGGTCCAACACTGCTGGTTTTATTCGCGCTCAAGCCAGTGAAGTACCACTTCTAAGCACGAAATTCGTCACCAGAGTTCATCTCAATACTTGCATCGTCCGAAACTTTGTCCCCAGCTGCATCAGTGTCTCCCCTTCCTCTAGATCTGCCGTCACCGATGGTCTGCACCCGGAAGTTGTTCTACTCCGGCAAATAATGCCCCAAGTGTTAGTTTTTTCAGGTGGTGATATTAGTGGGATGGCCTCAGGTACTTGCTTGCTGTTGTCGGCCGTCTGTTCATATTCAAAATTAGCGTGACCAATGATGATGACATGACAGCTAAAGGCCTTTATAAAGGGCAAGTTTTCGGCCAAAAAATCTAAAGGCCTTCATAAAGGCCTCCTAAAGGCCTTTAGGCGAACACTGGACGCAGGAGCCTCCGGTTCGATTCCGGCTCAGGCCATTTACGGTTTGTGCTGTTTTTGCTCTTTTTTGGGTTTCGTCATCTTCCTTTCACCAATTTTTTGAGAACTACACAAGAGGGACTCACCATAGCCACATCCTTTTGTTTTCTGAATTCCCAACCGTTCCCAAGAAAGGCTGCCTACTAGCAGTATATAACACATGACAGCGAGCACTCAATGACCTGATGGTGTAATTGGTTAGCACGCCTGCTCGAAGTAGTTTTGGATGCAAAAAGACTTCTGCAGGAGCCCCCGGTTCGAATCCGGGTCAGGTCATGTTGACGAAACGTTCGAGGTTTTTTTTCTTTTCCTTTCTTTTTCCTTTTCTTTCTCCAACGAGAAAGGCGCCATCGACACCGCTGAGCGCTCTCGAGTGCTCGAGTGCTAGTGCTGGTGCGAGCGAGCGAGCGAGCGCTCGTGATCATGGACGCGCAGACAACCCCGCCGAATCGTCTCCGCCCTCGCACCGCGTACCGCATACGGAGAAGGGGGAAAACGGGCCATTGAAACAGCCGCATAGTTTATAGCCGCGCTGTCCATCTCATGTATGAGCCGCCCGGGCGGTCTCAGGGCGGACGCAGAAATCGCCTTCGCGCTCGCGCTCCCCCCGCCCGCCCTGCGTCTGCACACGTCGCGTCGCGCGCGTCGCGTGTGCAGTCCTCGTCCTCCGCATCCCCACCACCCCGCCCACACCCAACGCACACCCATCGCACGCACGCACACATACCCATCGCACGCCATGAATCAGAATCAGAATCAGGATTATTAACAACACACAGCTAACTAATACGTTCAGAAAAGAGGGCTCAGCTATGACCGTCCTTTGCGTCTTCCGACTTCGCACATACTAAAGGTAAAGAGGGGGGGGGGGATCTGTATCTGTATTTTAATGCATGCCCTCGCTCGGCCCCTCGTCCTTCTCCTTCGGTGGTGGGTATTCGTTCTAAGCGGTTTAGCACTACGAGGGAGGGGGGGGGGGGGTGGGTTAGTGGTGGGGATGGAAGGTGAGGGAGAGAATAGATAGATGGATAGAGAAAGCGGGGAAGTAAAAGTAAAAGCAAGGAAGGAAGGAAGAGACGAAAGACGGGCGTGTGTGCGTGTACGGGGCGGGAGGGATGCGTCGCCGGCCCCATCCACACCCACATCCACACGCATTCCAGCCCATTCCGGCGGACGTCCCCCCACATGCCGAAGCCTACACACGCATACCGCCACCGTGAAATGAGGTGAATCAGGTCACGGCCAAAAGAGGCAATCGTCGTCGCCATCGCCTTCCCGGGAGCGAAGACGCAAGGCGGAGGCGTGCACCCCCTCCGCGCCGAACAAAGACAAAAAGAAAAACAACACAGACGCGACGCGACGCGGAGCACGGCAGCCGGTCTGCTCTCCTGCAACCAGGGGGGGGGGGGGGCGGGTGCGGGGTGCTCGCCCGTGCAGAGCGGACGGGCGCGCCGAGCCGTCAGAGCCAGCCCCAGTGCCAGCCTCAGATGCGCGCAAGACGACATCTGCGTCTACTCCTCCCCAAAACCCCCGCAAAAAAAAAAAAAAAGGCCCCAGCCAAAAGAATCCAAGAATCCAAGAATGTGTCCGAGAAAGGACGACCGGGGTACAGCGCGCGAGAAAGAGCGCAAGCAAACTCGGTACGAAAACAATGAAAAGCGCAATAATGACCGCGAACGAGTACGAAAAAAAACAAAGAGAGGAAGAAAACAAGGAAACAAGAGAAAGGAAGGCGAGGAAACGGGGGTACGCACGACAGCCATCATCTCCTGCGACTTTGTGTTCATGATGAGGGCGACGATGAGGCCTGTGCGGGGTGGTTCGTTAGTATATGAGAGTAGACGGAGATTTGGGAGAGGTATCGGAGAGGAAGGGGAGGCGCAGGACGGACCGCCGTACAATGCCCAACGCAGCGCGGCGCGTAGCACGAAGACGTACGTGGAATGCGCAGGAGCGAAAGTGGGCGCAGCACGGCGCAGTCGGCAGGGCGCAGGGCACGCAGCTCACGTCCAGCCGCTACGCAGCAAACACCCGCCCTGGCAGCCCGTCGCGTGGTACGCAGCTCGCAGCTCACGGCCTGCCCAGGCCCAGGCCCAGGACACCGACACCGACACCGACACCCCCTATTGCATGCAGTCCGTAGCTCGCAGCGTCACAGTGGTACGCAGAAGACGGTGCGCGGAGGACGGCATGCGCAGGCACCTCCGCAGCCCGTACTGCGCAGGACACTGCGCCCCTATTGCACGCCACTCGCCGCTCGCAGCGTCACAGTGGTACGCAGAAGAGCAGAAGACAGTGCGCGTCGTCGTACGCAGCTCGACAGCGCAGCTCCAAGTGCGCGTCGTCGTACGCAGCCCGTATTGCGCAGGGCACGCAGCCGTCCACTGTTACTGTTACTGTTACGCAGCACCTGCGCGCCCCGGTACGTACGTACGCGGGAGGGCTTGCCGCACGACGACACAGAGAGGGAGAGAGGAAAGGAAAGGAGGAAAGGAGAGAAAGGAGAAAGGGCGTACCATACAGCCCCAACACTTCCGCGAAAATGAGGATCAGGATCTACACCCCTTGTATCAGCCAGCCTCCAACAAAGCGAATGCACGGATGCAAGCAAGGGACTGACCATGCCGACAAACAGCCGCGGCTGCTGCGCGGTGCCCCTTACGCCCGCGTCGCCGACGATGCCGATGGCGAAGCCCGCGGCGAGGCCGGCGAGCCCGACGGCGAGGCCGGCGCCCATTTGGATGAAGCCTTGGGCGAGGGACATGTGTACGTTCACTGGTCGGATGGATAAGCGCGTTAGCACACTCCCTTGTCTCAAAGAGGGGAAGACGGAGGGGGAGGACGCACGGTCGCTGACGATGAGCACCGAGACGACGAGGCCGTAGATCTGCGTTGTCGGTCCACCGCATTAACACCAATAGAAGGATATGGGGCAGGGAGGGAAGGACGCACGGCGATGATACCGGCCATGATGACGGGGACGACACACTTCATCATCTGGTCTGGCCGCAGGACGGACATGGCGGCGATGCCGACGCCGGATTTGGCCGTTCCGTAGCTGCGCACGACGGCCGAGTCAGCTCTGCTTTGCTCTCTACACCGGGGAGGGGAAGTACCTTGCTCCTATGCCTGCGCGGGAAAGAAGGCATTGTGAGTAAGGAAGGAGGACAAGGGAGGACGGGGACGGGGACGTACAGGTAAACACGATGGCGCTGGTACAGCCCTGAAAGCCCGCGCATCGTCAACCACCAGCCTACGTACTGCGAAAAACAAGGGGGGACGGACCATGACGCTGAAGAAGGGCGCGTAGACGGGACAGAGGTCGGACGACATTGCGGTGGGTTGTGCGGTGCGTGCGGGGAACGAAGGGAGGTACAAGAGACTGCGAAGACGGGAGACGTGTTGTCGGACGATGTGTCTGCGCGGGGGCGTCGAATGCAAGCACGTGTAAATAGGTGCAAATATGATGCGAGGTTGTTGAGTGTCAACCACGGCCAGGTCCTGCATTCCTGCAGCCCTTGCATATCAAGTCACCTTGCTTGTCAAGGTCTCTCCAACCTCATAATGGTTGCACTTTTTGAACGACCCGCTGATCCTAAATCTCCCGAAGGTCTAGAGTTCTATTTTACACAAATATTACCTAAATTTAAACTCAGCAGAGCAGGCATTGATTTTACATACAAGATATCACCTGAACTGAGTGCTATTTCTCCCAAAATCCAATGTGCTCGCGCAGCAGAGCGGGCAAAGCATGAAGTAAGTTGCGTGAAAGATTTTGCGCAGACTCCCAGTGCAAGCAAGGTCCCTTCCGACGCAGTCGGAGCTTCCTAGTAGGGTGTGTAATTGGAAAAAAAAAACCCACAATAAACCATGCATTCAAGTTGAGCGTTGAAGAACAAAAAAAAAAACTACGAGACCTGGTTATGACCCGACCCGGATTCGAACCGAGAACTCTTGCACAGTTTTTGTTACGTCGATGACAATTGGAGCAAGCGTGTTACCAACTACACCATCAGGTCCTTCCAGCAGCACTCCCTTCCATGTATTATGTAGTCTCCTCGAAGAATGGCAAGAAAATGAACCACAACCACCTAAAAAAGAGTGCAACCAACTTATGGACCTTTAAATTGCGGAGCCAGCGCTGTGACAATTTACTATGCATCCAAGTTGAGCGTTGAAGAAAAGAAATGGAAAAAATAGTCGAAATTCCCGGCATGACCTGACCCGGATTCGAACCGGGGACCCCTGCGCACAGGCTATCGAGGCTAACACGACAACTTGAGCAAGTGTGTTACCGACTACACAATCAGGTCATTGTTGGCAACCACCACTCCCTTGCATGTACTATGTATTATTCTCGAATAGTGCCAAATAAAGAAAATGAACTGCAACCACCTAAAAAAGAGTGCAACCAACTTATGGACCCTTAAATTGAGGAGCCAGCGCTGTGACAATATACTATGCATTCAAGTTGAGCGTTGAAGAAAAGAAAAGAAAAGCAAATCATTAGGACTTATGACCTGACCTGGATTCGAACCAGGGACTCCTGCAGAAGTCTTTTTGCGTGCAGAGTTAGTTCGAGCAGGTGTGTTAACCAGTTACACCATCAGGTCATGACTTCTCCCTGTCATAGGTTATATACTGTTGGTAGGCAGCCTTTCTCGTGAGAAAACAATAGGATGTAGCGATGGCGAGTCCCTCTCAAAAAAATTGTCGAAAGGAAGATGACGAAACCCAAAAAGAGCAAAACAACATATATGATCACCTCACGGCCTGAGCCGGAGTCGAACCGGAGGATCCTGCATGCAAATACACCTCTGTTAATTGAAGCAGGTGTGTTACCAGCTACACCATCAAGCCATTGAGCACACACTCCCTTCAATGGATTATCCGGGGTTCTTGCAATGCAAAATTTGGACACATCAACGACAACAACATCAAATTTAAATGCTTACTGGCACTGGCACTGCCCTTTGAACACAAGCTGAAACTCAAACTGCTCAGGAAATCGTGCTTTGGAGTGGTGTTCCAGCGCTCAAGAAAAGGAAAGAAAAACCATCTAGTCCACCATTACATGACCTGACCCGGATTCGAACCGAGAACTCTTGCGCACAGGTTACTCAGACATACATAACTTGAGCAAGTGTGTTACCAACTACACCATCACATCGTTCCTGCACCATGCCTTTCTATGTATTATGTAGTGTTCTTGAATAGTGGCAAATAAAGAAAATGGGTGCAAATATGATGCGAGGTTGTTACACCACTCCCTTGTATTGGTTACCTGACTGGTTGGGAAATTGAACCACAGCACGATACTTACACAACACAATAAACTGTGCATTCGAGTTGAGCGTTGAAGAAAAGAAAGGAAAAACGGGAACACAAGGTCCATGACCTGAGCCGGATTCGAACCGGGGGCTCCTGCAGAAGTCTTTTTGCGTGCAGAATTAGTTCGAGCAGGTGTGTTAACCAGTTACACCAGCAGGTCCTGACTCCTCCTTGTCCTGTGTTAAATATTACCTACTGACTAGTAGGTAGCCTTCCTCCAGGTGATCATGAACGGTTGGGAATTCAGAAAATGAAAGCACAACACGGATGTGGCTTGTGTAGTTCTCAAAAAATTGGGGAAAGGAAGATGACGAAACCCAAAAAAGAGCATAACCTTAACATCATCGAGTATGACCTGAGCCGGAATCGAACCGGGAGCTCCTGCACAATGTCTTTCTGCATACAAAACCAGTAGCAGGCGTGTTAACCATTTACACCATCAGGCCGTTGTGTACACCTTCCCTTCAATGTATTATATATTATGTGGCGTTCTTGAAATGCGAAATTTTAGAACATATCAAATGCTCACTGGCACGGCCCTTTGAACACAAGCTGAAACTCAAACTGCTCAGGAAATCGCGCTTCGGAGCGGTGATTCTGCATTCCAAGTGCTCAAGACAAAAAGAGAAAAACCACGCAGAGCCCCAGATGACCTGAACCGGATTCGAACCGAGGACCCTTGCAGAATTAGGTTATGCTATTCAAATGGTCGCAAATTTGAGCAAGTGTGTTACCAACTACACCATCAGGTCATTAGTGCACCCCCCCTTCAATGTATTATGTAGTGTTCTTAAATAGTGGGAATTATGAAAATTGAAATGCAAAATCACTGCAATTGCAAATAATGAATAAGTTGAACAGCACAGATTCAAGCAAGCTTGATTGCCCCCTCCCTCATTGAAGAATGGGTGAAAAAATTCAAGCTGAGTGTTGAAGAAAAGAAATGGAAAAAAAAAACCCAACATTTCTTCAGCATGACCTGACCCGGATTCGAACCGGAGGCTCCTGCAGAAGTCTTTTTGTATCCAGAACTAGTTCGAGCAGGCATGTTAACCAGTTACCCCATCAAGTCTTCCTCCTTGTCATGTGTTGTATACTAGGCAGCTGTTACACCATCAGGTCCTGATTTGAGACACTTCGGAGTGGTGCCATCCAAGCGCTCAAGAAAATAAAATAAAAATCTCCTCTTTCCGGGCATGACCTGACCCGGATTCGAACCGGGAACTCTTGCGCAGTTATGTTATCTAGAAGCTAAATTTGAGCAAGCGTGTCACCAACTACACCATCAGATCCTTAACTGCTCCACTCGATTCCATGTACTATGTAGTGTCCTTGAATAGTCCCAAATTATGAAAATGAACCGCAAAATCACTGCAATTGAAAATAAAAATAAAAAAGTTAGTTGAACAGCACAGATTCAAGCAAGGTTGATTGTCCCCTCCCTCATTGAAGAACGGGTGAAAAAAAGTCACCGTCGAAGGGAAGGGAAAAAAAGGAATTTCCATCATGATCACTGAATGACTTAAGCCGGTTTCAAATGGTCTTTCGAACCGGAGACTCCTGCACAAGCGGAAAAAGTAAGCTCTTCTTGAAATTCAACCACCACAACTTCTTCGGTTAAACCCTCTATAGACTTCAACACTTTGAGCTGAAGAGCCCAGAAGTTGAATTGAATTATTCCTATCGCATAAAGAAAAGAAGGGAAGTTGAGGGGGTGTCTATTAGGCACATACATAATAGTAAGGTGCCCAAGAACTTTTGGTTGTGTTTGAGTCCGGTGTGTGTACACCCCCATACACCCATACCCACGGTCCATGCAGCCAGAAAATCAAGTTATGTGACGAGGGACATGAATACTACTGGCGGACAATCCTCAGATGCACAACGCGCGACGGGAAGTAAGTTAAAGTATACACACGGGGGAACAATGAATATTTAACTCTTCCAGCATGAGTATCCCAGTTACAATCACACAGCAAGGTGCTTGACCCGGTTATTGCATTGTTGTCGTTTTTCTGCGACCCAGTCCAAGACCTGCTCCTGGACAGAAAATAAATAAACACAATAGGGTCGTTCACAGTTGCCCATTTTCCGCCCTTTTTCACTCCCTTTTTTTCTCCCTTTTTCCCATTTTTTCTGTTTTCTACCTGGATTTTTTTTCCCTTTTCAATTCAGTGGTGTAAAAAGGGTCTAAGAGGGAAGAAACAAACTTATAGCTGTGAAACTGACCAAATACAAGAGAAGTGCAAGTGCAAAAAGGGCCAGAAAAAGGGCAACTGTAAAACTCCCCGACTGTGCTCCCTTTTTTCGACCCTTTTTGCTCCCTTTTTGAGGTACATGGCTTGCATGCTGGGAGGCTTATATACCACGGTGGATGCCATATACACCTATAACCATGGCCACCATGTAAACAAATTGGAATGAAAATCATGTGGTTGAAAATTCAAAGAGGCGGCGAAAAAGGGAGTGAAAAAGGGAATGAAAAAAGGGCCGCAAAAGGGGAACCGTGAATGACCCTAATGATCATGAAGATCCTACTGCTTGGGTGCCTGCAAACGAAAATCGCTTGAAGATCTCCTCTGGCATCTCCAGCACCACCACCAGCACACTGCTACGTCACGGTGTCAGCGCTCCGAATTTCCTTCCGCGATCCCACAGCCAAATCACGATTCTATTCTATGTACGTGATTTATTTTTTCACTGCCAAAACAAAATCCAGTGGCTGTTTAACTGTGAAACAGATTTGAATAGATGTGATGCAGTAGTATACTGTATCCAGACACGAAAACACGGAGATGGAGACTTTGTACGTATATACAGACTTGGCAGGGTGGATTCGCCCCTCGGCGCCACAGGCCCACATCCGGGCGGGACACAGGGACGCGCCGCGTTTGTGGAGACTAACCGTGGGACTATGTGCCGGTGATCTCCAGCGGAAGCAGCAATCCAGTCCGTTTTTTACAAAAAAAGGGAAATCTTTCTCTCGAGGGTCGCGGCACTGGCAAATGTCTGACCTAATCGTGGCTGGAGTGCTTGACGCTCGACGCCAAGTACTTGGATCATTTGTGTTTTATTTGCCACTACAACTTGAAGAAATAAGAGCCAAAAGAGGAAGATGATAAAAAGGATCCGCGATCAGAGAGTATGTACCGTTGATCGGGGATCACCAAGGTTGAAAAAAAATGGTTTTCGGTGCATAGCACTTCGAGCAGCTCTGTGGGCTAGAAGACATATTTTTTTATCTCGTTTCATAAACACAGCTTCAACTCTCACCGGTGTCACGGTCCTCCTCAAACTTCATGACACATTTGCAACCCTTTAATGTTCGTTTCCGTCCGAATGCCTGTGGTCAAAATTTCCAGATACCACTTTAAAAACACCGGTCCCTCCTTCCCCCACCGGAAGTCATCAACAAGCTCGTTGTATGCGGTACAGTGTCATGTTCACTTTCGAACACAATACTACGTGATCAGTTGAAATTCTTAGCACTCCCTAATGCGGTTGACCGCACCTGCTGGGAACGTTACGGACCTAAGACCCTCTGCCTTTGCCGCGAAACCAATCGTTATTTCGAGCCCGGCTTTCTCGTTCAATGTTGGGATTCGGTGTCGCTAGAGGTGACCGTACACCGCTGTTCATCGGAAGGACAATATAAGAACAGGTACTGAGAAGGGAAAACACAAGTTACATGTTTGTTCATGTTCCCGTTATAATTGGGTGATTTTTTGTGTGATAATAGACACGAAGAATTATGCTGGCCCCTTTGTAAAATAAATCAATTATATCTCGAATGTGTCAAAGTGTGCAAAAGTTGGTGAAACTGAAGATATATCGAGGACACTGCTCATGTTTGCAAATCTTGAGGCCAAGATAACTGCAGAACCAAAGTTGGGAAAAAATATATTTTGAAGGCATGTTCAAATATATCTCGAATCTCGATCAGTTATATCTCGAAGGTCAGGTCGGTAAGGTCGGTTATATCTCGACGCAGGTCGACTCACATATATTTTCGAGGTGGTCCTTTGGCATCGCAGGGCACGACGAGCGGGCCCGGCCGCTCACTGTCTGACGCGCTGAGCAGGGCGAGTGCGCCTACGGCGGTGTCACGTCGGTCGTGGTTCAACCGCCGGATCACCGCACCGGTGCTTGGCCGTGCTTGGCGGGCCCTTTACGGTCACGTTGACATCAACGCGACGCGTTTCGCTTGGCTCAGCTTAGCGGGCTTGCTCTTGACCACTACCCGCCCCAACACTCCCCGACTCCGCTTGCATGTCTTGTGCCCGGACACTGAGAGCCAGTATATTGAGACCCAGTCTTTTCTTTTTTCTTTTTTGCTCCTCCTTTCCCGACGGATGCCACCACGAGAGTTTTGGCTTGGCTTTGGCCCATCCTCCTACAAACAGATGTCCTGCTGTGTTTTGCTCGTCGCGCGGGGGCACGGACCTGCACCGCACACCTGCAGTACCAGTAGAGTCACTGAGCGGAGTTGGGTGGCAAGGACGACGGTGGACGCGTCAAACCCGGCCTCAAACGCGACCAAGCATTCTGTATTATCCCTTTAGCACACCACATCTCCCTACACAGCGCTTTTCATGTGGATCGTGCTCTTCGCGGTGAATTTTCCACTCGAGCAGCTTGTTTACGTCACCGGCCCGTACCGCCCGGATCGCCACGTCTCTCTTCTCCACCATCTACCGCCGTTCGATGTGCGACGAATCTGCGCCGGCGGGACTCAGAGGTTTGGGGGGAAGGGTAGGGGTAGGGAAAGAGTGCGGGAGAAGCAGAGGGTGGCATGGAGCCAGGCATGTACACCTTTCTTTTCTTTTCCTTGCATCTGTCTCGTTCATGTTTTTGCACTTGCACTTCCCCCTTCCCCTTCCTTCCTTCCTTCCCCCTTCTCCAATATCCTTCCCCTTCCCTCTTCCGGCTTTGTTCTTTTTTCTCTATTGTTTTTCCCTTTTTACATAAGTCAAAAACTTGTGCTAATTCACCCAAAATGCGTTCAGGATCTCATGCCCCATCGCCGCTCCTGCGCCACATGACCCCGCTCGCGTCCCTCCTCCCTCTACACTGCACTGTCCACCCACCGCCGCCTCGCTCCGCGCATCCGCCGCGCCCTTTCGTCGCACGCATCTTCGATGCACATTCCGCGCGTCTGCCATGCGAGTCCACCCGCATTTACGTCGCGCACGTCCACCTTGCACGGGCACGCCCGCAGAAGCTCCACAAATCCGTGTGAACGCATTAGGGTTCCGTCTGCCTTGCACGTTCAGCGCACACCTCCGCGCATGTGAGTGAACGACAGTGCGTATTACTTCCCTTATTTCTGCCCTCTACATGTGCATCTTGCTTCTCCTTCCCTCTCTTCCCCCGGCCCTCTATTTTCTCCCCGTCTTTCCTGCTTTTTTTTCTTTTCTTTTGTCGGATCTCATCTCTTTTCATCAAACAGATCTCCACTGTGCATGGCGCGACACTTCCGCGGGCATCCGCCCGTGTCGACGTACCGCCGCGATCTTCCCGCGCACGCCATGTCGTCAGACATGTGCCGTGCATGCACACAGTCGCCCGCTGTAACCCTTCGGCGATGTGCTCGACGAGGCACCCATCGCGTCGTCCTCCAAGCACGACCACTCCAACGTTGCGGAGAAAAGGGGCGCCGAGGCCGCCGTGCAGCCGAGCATCGCGGAGCTGGTGCGCACGCGTCTGTCTGTGCAGCGTCGCACGCTGCTTGCACAACTCGCTCGAGGTTATCTCAGCACCGCCCGTCCTCTCGGACGAGGACAGCCGTGCGCAGCTGCGCCGGGCGTCGGTTGCCCGGCGGCGGGAGCTGCTTTCGAAGCTGAAGGAGGGAGAGGAGGCGCCGAAGCGCGCGGATGCGAGCCGGTGCGATAAGGAGGTGGACGCGCGGCGCGCGAAGGAGGATGTGCGCAAGCGGGAGCTGGAAAGGATACACAAGATCCAGGTACAAAGGAAGCAGCAAGATGCAGAGTGGTACAAGGCTGCGCTGGTGGAGAAGGGGATATTGAAGGCTTGGAGGACTTGCAAGCTCGATCGATATCCGGATATATCTCATTTGGCTCAACGACAGAGGTTCTTCCACCCTATTTAGGAGCCGGAAATGAGCAAGCACAGACGAAAGACACCAGAACATGGTCTCATAGATATGCGCGTCATAACATCATGTACCCATACAATATAGAAAGCCGTGCACAGGACAGCCAGGGGCCTCGAAGAGAAATGCAGTGGGTTTAGGGCGGATATATGGGTACAAGACAACATCGAAGACAGGTCA